TCCAATTGTAAATAAAGCAGCAATAAACATGGGGGTGCAGGTATCTTTTTGAATCAGTGTTTTGTGTCTTTTGGGTAGATACCTAGGAGTGGGATTACTGGGCAGTTAAGTTTATTTTAAACTACCCATATTGTACACTACCTATTATCAATGACCTATCAGTTGTTAGTTTTCTATTATATATAATAATAATTTAATGAAAGAAATTGATGGTGATAATTAATTATAGACTCAATAACTTGTTATGTTGATTTTGAAATGTATTACTCAAAAACAAAGAAATACAAAGAAAAACAAAGGTACTAAAAATGAATAATTTTTGGAAAGAAAGTGTTTTTTTGTTGTGTTCTTTGCCTAACAGTCTACTACTATAGAAAAAAATTATATTTTGAAAAAGTTTGAAGATTACATGAGATGTGGTTGGAAAAATTAAAAACAAAGTATATTTTGAAAAACAGACCTCCTATGTTGAGACTTGAGATAACATCAGTATTTTAAGCCTCATTCTAGAAGTCAAGTAGTATCCTATATAAAATCATGTTATTTCAATAGGCTAATTTACTACTTATTTGGTAAATATTGTGAGATTTACTTTTTAAATTGTCTTTCCCTTCTCTTGAATAAATCATATTTTCCAAATCTGACAAAAAAGTCACAATTCAGATGAAAATCAAACATAATTTTTCATTTTTAAATCAGTCTACTCTAGAATTCAAAATAGTAATACCACCAACCACACATCCATTTTTTCAGCTGTGAAGAAAACTTTATGACATTTCTCAGAAACAAATCTTTAATTTTTCCAAAGTTTCAAATTACTTACTACAGAAATAGTTTTTGTAAACCACATATCCTTTCTCTAAAATCTCATTAATACTGTAAGAAAGTTATTTCAAACAACAAACTTAGTTTTAACCCCTCTTTTCCATTACAAACACAAGTTTTAACTAGTAGGGAAATGAGTCATTAGATGAGCAAAGCTCTTTACTTGTCAGTGAGAGCTACTTGCAGAAGGTGACCTCTTCATTTTAAAAAAATTCTATTTTTCAGATATTGTGGAGATGAACTTCCAGAAGACATCATTAGCACAGGTAATGACCCTAAGTTAAGGAACAAAATTGTGATTTGTTTTCTCAACTTGTCAGTGAAAATAAGGACCCAACAGTTATTACTACTTACTTCTTTAAAGTGGAGAGAACTGAGGACAGATGTAGCTCATTACCTGGTAAAATGCATAGTATTTATTTATGCTTAAGACTTGCTCCACCTCCGTGGGCTAAATACCCATAGATTCTATCCAGATTCTAGGCACACACCTAACCTGCCCAATTAAGTAATTTTGCAGAACCTTGAAAGAAAACATGTTTTTCAATGTGTTCACACGAAGGATCCATGCATATCAGGTATCCAGTTTGCTATTGTCTTGAATCTGAAAATCCATGAATATTACTGTAGCTTATGACTTCTGTAACATGTAATAATAAAAGGTCAAAACTTCATTGTTAATGAAGTAAGTTATTAAAGTGTTAAAGTAAGTCTGTCACTGAAAAAAATGTTTTCATCATACTCACTGCATTTTTATCTTTTTTATTATGGTATCAATAGCATTATAGCACTTCCCAGAGAGAAATGTGAAGAACCTAGTTCTGTAAGATGTTTTTCAGAGGTGCTAAATGAGAAAAGGACTCTAAGGTCAAATACATTTGGGAAAATTGAGTTAAATATGTTAAATAGGTTTCTTTATTGAAAGATAGTAGAGAGCTTTACTATGTTAATTATACATAGCAGAGCTCAAAAGAATAGCTCTAATAGGCAGTGTTTTCCAAATCTCCCACACAGACATTTTTTTTTTACTTTGTTCCATGAAGTATGCCTCATGAAATGTAAGGATATTTCTTCCTTTTTTATTTTTAAGATTTATTTATTTATGCATGCAGAACTGGGGTACAGGCCAGAGGTGCAGAGGCAGTGAGAGGACTCACCAGAGACAGAGTGGGGAGCAGGCTGATTGACAAGTTGAGGGGAGCAGAGAGCAGGTCAGGAGAGATCTTCCATGTCATGTGGGTCACCTCTCTGGCTGGGAATCAAACTCCTGATGAAGTGGCTTTAGCTTCTTAGTGCTATGCTTTACCTGCTGTACCACGAGGGAGGGCCCGAGGACATTTCTTGTAGCATAAATTTATCTCCACATGCAATACCCCTGTTAATGCCCCACTACTATTTAATGGCTAAGAATCTTTAATTTCTTAGAGATCTTAATTTTTTTCTTATTATTTCCAGCACTAGCACTAATAATTGACATTCTTACTTGCTCCATTTCCCTCTAAGTCATAAAATTATTGCAATGCATCTGCAGCTAAAAACAATAAGGCAATTAGTTGTAATATCTAAGTAATCCTAAACTCAAATCACTCCCACATGCTAGGCTTTTGGTGCACTCACATTTCATTTATGCATCATAAGTATAAGAGATGGGTGGGATTTCTTCAATCCTTGAATGATTAATGAGATATAGTAATTCATTCCTCTGTTGGAATCTCCCAAGGAAGAGGGAGATTTTATCTTTTATCACTTTCTTGAAAATTATTTCATGTTAACGGGAGGCAGTTGGGGGGATGAGAACCTGACTGAAAAAAAAAGGAAAAGTCAAAGGGTAGCCTGAAACTTGACATTTTTCTTCTATTGTCTGAAACAGACAAGACTACCACAAGTATAGTCAAATCAATGTTTTCCTTACAGCTACAAGAAACGAAAAGATAAACCACATTATTTATTATTCAAAAAGAAATAAATAAGCACAGGAAAAGAACGTAGTTAAACAATAATAAAAATAAATAAACCTAGATTTGGCAATACAACAAGAGGAATTTTCTACAAAGGAATAGAAAAAGATATAAAATATGGTTTGGCTATAATCCTAATAGCAGTCATAATACTATTAACAGTTTGACCTTGTTTTTTTAAATATGTGCTTACTCACCCCAGCATATTTATACTAAAAAGCAAGAACAAAATAAATATATTTAAAACTACCTATAATTCCACCACTTTCATGAAATTAAAAGCAAGAACATGCCCATTCTCCTAATCCCACCCCCCACGCCCAACCCAGAAAGGCATTCGACAACTTACTTCCAGGTGCTTTCCTACATCATACAAGTATTATCCAAGGCACAGTACAATATTTGGGTAATATAACATCTTCTTTAGAGTTGCTGTCTCTGTTTTATTTCTACCAGCTTTTTGCATGTTAGAGATATTAACTCTTTTGGTCTGTCTCTTGCTCTTTACCTTTGATTTCTCCTATCATGCAAAATTTTTTTTTAAATTTTGGCTTCTCTTTCAAGTCTGAGAAAAGTGCCGTGGGCCAGAGCATGAACTCTGGAGCCAGATTGTGCAGGTCAAACCTCACCTGCCATTTAGCAGTATAGGGTTCAACAAGTTAATTTGGCTCTCTGTGGCACAATTTCATCTATAAAATGTATGTAATAATAGTATCCATTTCATAGTGTTGCTATGGGAAATTAGTGAGTTAATAATAGAAGAAACACACTTAAAGATGTGCTTGGTAAACACTAATGTTATATACACTAATGTGTATGGGTGCTTTTTTTTTTTTTTTTTCAATGAATTCTGGATTTGGAATCTACATTGAGGTTATTCCTTTCTGAAAAAGATAAAAATATCCTCATATTTTATTATATGTAATAACATTTTTCCTTTTTATTTTTAGCAATTTTTGGTTTTTAAAGCAAATGAAATGTAACAATGTGTAAAGTGGACATCTAGTCTGTGGTTTTGTTTCTTACAAATGCAAAACTTGCTGTACTTCCATCATTTAATAAGTTACACCTCCATAACTTACTGATTTGAACTGCCTGCCATTTCCCAGTAATTCGGTGGCTGAGGCTGTGCCTTCTATAAAGAATATCTTTGAAAACAAAACACTATTTCCTGTAGGACATATTGGAGAATGAGTCAAAAATCTAAGTCTCTCTGATTCACTGGCAATGAAACCACAGACTTGAAAGCTTGAAAATTCAGTTCTGGATTCTGGGAATATTTTTTCACTAGAATTCTTATGTTCTCTTATAAGAATGACTAGTTTTTGAGTTGTCATTCAAATTGAAGGAAAGTAATATCTTTGTTCTTTTACACACTTCTTCCTCCCCAGGAAATGTCATGACCTTGAAGTTTCTGAGTGACGCTTCAGTGACAGCAGGAGGTTTCCTAATCAAATACGTTGCAGTGGATCCTCTAGGCAAATCCAGTCAAGGAAAAAGTACAAATTCTACTTCTACTGGAAGTAAAAACTTTTTAGCAGGAAGATTTAGTCATTTATAAAAAAAAAAAGGACATTCTGAACTTAGGTTTATATCTTTTGGGACACCTTTTTATCTTACTTTCATATTATTATTAACATTTATTTATTATTTTTCTAAATGTGAAAGCAATACCCGATAATGTTGAGAAAATTGGAGAATATAGAAAAATTTAAATGGGAAATAAAACCTCTCATCACCCCATGCATAAAAATAATAAGTGTTAACATATTTTTCTCCTATCAGTTTTTGATTTGTGATAAGAGTATTTGTATTTGGAATTGTTTGTATCCTGATCTGTGTACAGTTTTTTTTTTAAACTTTAAATTGTATGATTTTGGCATTTTCCCATATTATTATGCAAGAAATTACTTTTGATAAATTGTAAAATATTCCATGCTGTGATTGTTCCATATTTTATTTAAGCTTATCTCTATTATGAAAAATTTAGATTGCTTTTATAAATATTGCTACCCAGATCATCCTTGAACATATCTATTTGTTCATCTCTCTGGTTATTTGAAATAAGGTCATAGTGTTAGTGCATGACAAGGAATATCAAACTGATGACAAGGCGATTCCAAACTGTTAAAAGAGTATATGCGCTAAACGCTAATCCTGCCATCCATAGACTTTGCACAAAGGCAAAGGAAGCAGGCTCATAGTATAAAAGGCTTGTAATAGTAATGATGTGCAAAGAGAGAGGGAAATTTTAAATAATAGTTTTCCAATAAAACTCCAAAAGTTACCCATCTTGTTAGTGGGCAAGTGCCCATTGAATAGGCCCAGACTGAAATGGGGAAACTGAGAACTGAAGGCTTGCCACAAATCTAAGATACCTTCTGGTGAGTGATCACTGAGAACTGGGACAAAAAGTGAGACTCAGGATTTAAGATGTACAACATAATCCAACATGAAGTCAAGATAATGGCTGCCATCGTCACTACCACAGACTAGGAGCAGCCTCCCCACATTTCTCATCCACATGTCTCTTCCAAGTATCTTTTCCAAGTATCTCTACATGTCTCTTCTGCATGTGTTTCCTCCAAAAATCTCCTCATCTGTGTCCCCTAAAGCATTCCCCTCACTGCTTCCCAGCCATCCTCATTTAGGAAATCTGGTTCATGGCATACAGGGACGTGTAATCCAAGCTGCCTCCAGTAAGTGAGAGTGGGGGAAATGGAGCCTCCATTTTTGCTCCTCCCCCTTTTGCAGAGGTGTATCAGTAGAAGCATAATTATTAGATCTCAGGTTAATTAAAATGGATTTTTTTGATAGACAAAAATGGCATAGAGTTTGAATAAGCAGTAATTGGCTTACATATGTCTTTGGTGAGTTTTGTTTCTTTTGTGAATTATTTTTCCACCATTTCATTTAATTTTTTACTTAAATAATCTTTTATTAATTTATAAGAAATCATTGCATATATATAATTTCATGTCTGCATATTTGCTGCAATTCAATTTTGAAGTTCAAATTTTTGTTTTTCAATGTGCTGAGGGTCAATCTTATTTGCTATCAGACTTACTGATTTTGCTGCAGTATCTTTTCTTATCTTTATATTTAGAATGAATATTCCCACTGCAAGTGTTGGGGCACAAAGAAAATTATTTCATATCATTCATGGTTCTTCTAGACCAGCAAATAATTAAACACTAGACATACTGTTAAAAGAAAAAGTCAAAGAGAAGTTTAATAATAGCATGTATAGCTCCTTTATATATGGGAGAGACATAGCAAAACTGAGTTACTTGCTTCGTGACTTCGTATTCCATCTTAAATAGCTTAATTAAGACAAGGGAGTTTGGGGTACAGAAGAGAATGAGGTCCAGTTCTGCCTTCTTTATAAAAAGATAAGGTTTTTTTCAGTACAGTGAGGGGAGACCTTACAGAATGGAGTCTATATATAAATGTCTCTTTTCCTTTCTTTTTATTTTTTTAAAGATTGATTTATTTATGCATACAGAACTGGGGTATAGGCCAGAGGTGTGGGGGTTAAGGGGTGAGAGGCTTCACCAGAGACAGAATGGGGAACAGAACAGGTGGATTGATGAAGTACACTGCTGAGGGGAGCAGCAGGCGGGTCAAGAGAGGTCTGCCATGCCGTGTGAGTCAGCTCCCTGGCCAGGGATTGAACACATGCTGCAGTAGCTACGATAGCTTCATAGTGCTGTGCTTTAACCTGTTGTGCCACCAGAGAGGGCCCTAAATGGCTTTTTCCAAATGCAGTCTTCACCCACACTTCGAACTTCCTGCCATGAAATCAACCTTTTGCCATACACATATTTTGGGGTAGCAGACATTTGCTCTCCTACTGTCCTAGCTTGAACTCTTCAATTATTTAAAAGAACCAGTTTCTTGGTTCTGAGAAAAGATTAATCCAATTAAATAGTTGTGGCCAGATTCTGGAGGTAATACCTTAGGTGGGCCCCAAAGTTGAGCCTATATTGTACAAGTAATAACAGGCATTTCTATGGAAATAAAAGAAAGTCGAACATTAAAGATCAGAGCAAGCCACAAGTCCATTTGTGAGTCCTGAGGAAAGCCAGTTGAGAAGATTTCTAGCTGTGAAATTTGAGGCATCTCCAAATGGGGTAAAGACAGATGATGGCTTCTTCATTTGCAGATGATTTTATTAGGTATTTAGGAAAATAGCAATATAACTTAGGACTGTCCATAGCCATTATGGTGATATTTCTGAAGTTGATATCAAGTTCTCCATTTTCAACTTGTGTGGTTTCAGAAAAAGACAGGATTTTAACCAGTAGAAATCAAAGAGATTGAGAGAAAAAAACTGGAAGTGTTAATTTGGAAAGTTAGTTAGAAAAATTCAGTTTGGAAATATTAGTTAGAAAATTTCAGGATTCAGTGAAATCTATTCATAGAAAGCAAAATCCTCAAAAATGATTAAATGGACTAGAATCTGATGCCTATAAAAAGTATGTTACTAAACATTTTGTTCTTTCCATCTTCACCCCAGTTCTACACCCAAAAATTTGTAATAAGTCTAGTTCCAATAAACTTGGTCAGTTATGTGTTTTGATTTTTTTTTTTTTGCATAAGCACAGTAAGAACAAAATAAAGTGGATTGATTATTTTGATGTGCTTTCCTAGAACTTTTCGTAAGGAATTTTAGATTGAGCTCTTTTTGCCCTTGCAGAACACTGGCTCATAGCAGCTACTCAGGGGTTGGGAGTCATGTCAACATAAGTTTTCATCATCAACTTGGCCTATGATACCTATATCTTTGGGTAAATTCTTCTCTTTAATGTCCCCAAAATGCCATAGGCTTTCTGGGTTTGCCAAAAGGTGGCCTTCTTTACCCTTTCTGATAGACCTGGATCGATGTAAAGAAGGTGTCAGATGGTTTTCTCTTTGTTGACTGTAGTATCAATCTAGTTGCTGAAAGTGGTCTAAACTCAAATTTGACATTTCAATCAAAACTTCAGTAATACAACCATGTTTCCAACCATCTACCTCAGAAAGCAAAAAAAAAAAAAATCTTGGAATTATGCAAGCAAATACATTTCCATTAGAAATTAGAGTACTTACTAAAAGTGTCCATATTCTAAGTGTGTCAGAGAGAGAGAAATGTAAACATTTCAATTCCCACAAAAAAATATAACTTATCATAAATTTTCAAGTCATAATCAGCTTAAAAAAACGTTTTCTGGAGAAAGCAATTAAGTCAGTAATATTTCCTTTTGAATAAAGTCCTAGCAAAGAAAATCACTAAAAGAAATCACAATTCACAAAACCTAAATGTATAGAAATAAGTTCTTTAAAAATACAGGTACTTGGGCATCCACCAGAAGAGCTATATTCTTTTTTTTTTTTTTTTGAAGATTTATTTATTTATTCATACAGAGCTGGGGTACAGGCCAGAGATGTGGAGGGTGAGAGGTTGCACCAGAGACAGAGTGGAGAGCAGAAAAGGCAGATCGATGAAGTACACTGCTGAGGGGAGCAGTGGGCGGGTCAGGAGAGGTCTGCCATGCTATGTGGATCTCCTCCTGGGCCGGTGGCAATCGAACTCATGTGGAAGTAGCTTAAGCTTCTTAGTGCTGTGCTTTAACCCGCTGCCATAACCCAGGGAGGGCCATAAAGAATAGTTTTTGAGGATTTATTTGACTGAAACAACTACAGACACAATTACTTGCCTAATTATTAGTAACCTCCCAGTGATTCTCATGATGCCAAAGGAAAAGCTACATGGGACTAGATTTAATTGAATCGAGATGTTGGCTTCAAATAAAATTACATGTACAACTCAGTACAAAAGTTAGTTTTCATATTGCTATAATAAATGGGGATCACTTTCAAAACAATCTTAAAAGGATTTTTTTTTTAGTTTAAAATTCCAAGTATTTTAGATCTTGTTGTTTTCAAGCATAAACAACACTTAAAGTTTGTTGAGGAAAACACGCAGTAGCCTCCAATCTCACTCAGAAGAAAAGACAAAGTCATTCCTATGAGAGACACCTGAAAGTCACACCCTGATCTGACAATGTTCCTCCCCACACCTCACCCCAATCTCATTTTATATTTTGCTTCTTACCACCTCTGCCACCATTATCTCTATCTAGCCTTGCTGTACTGTGACATATTAGCACATTCCTGCCTCAGTGTTTTTGTCTGTGCTGTTACTTTCTTGCCTCCAATACTCTTCCTCAATTGGTCAAGTTGCTCATTCTCTGATGACTTGCAGATTTTAGAAGTCACGATCTCAGTGAAGTCTTCCTGGGCCCTTTATTTCAACTGTCTCCTCCCAAACTTTTTATATCTCTATTCCTACTTTATTTTTATATTTAGAAGTTATCACTGTTAGCATATTACATATTTTCTTCACATTGGCATGAAACCCAACTAAAACATAAGTTACATGAACACAGTGATTTTTTTTTCGTCTTTGCTAATGTCCACAGGCCCTCCAATAGATTCTGGTTGATAGAAAGTTCTCAATGAAATGAAAGAATCAATTATTAGCCTTTTATTTAAAATAAAGTACAATGCTTCCCTGGTGGTATGGT